TGTTACTTGCCCAATACACACTTTCTAAATTACGTTCAATGTCCATATCAGAGAAATTGAGGAATGAAAATGACGTTACATACGAGGTTGATGCATTTGTGCATGTCGTACTAAGCAAGGTATAAAAACAGTTGCTTTATGAGGAATTAGTTCATACCATTGAATATTGACGCAATAGACAAGGTGTCGCAGAAACCGATGTTGCTATAACCAAGTTTTACTGTATATAGTAAAAAGAGCACTGGGCCTAATACAGAGCCGTGAGGCACTCCGTACTGTATTTCTTTCCATTCAGAACAACATTAACTCCCATTTTCATACAAAATTACTCTCTGGTATCTTCCTCTCAAATAGGATCTCGTAAGTTTCTGAGCAGCTCCTTCAATTCCATAAAATTCCATTTTTGATAGCAATATATCATGATTTACTCAGTCAAAAGCTCTACTCAGATCACAAAAATTCCATCTGTTATATATTTGTTGTTTACAGCCCTATAAATATTCTCCATTAGATAATGAGTAGCTAATGTAGTTGAAGAGTTTTTTCTAAAGCCGAATTGCTCCTGCGTTAGCAGGTTATGTGTATTTAAGTGTAAAAACATTCTTTTATATATAACTTTTTCAAAAATTTTAGAAAAGATTGGGTGTAAAGATATAGGTCTATAATTAGACATGTCGGTTTTATCCCCTTTTTTGTGTATAGGCATTATTTCAGAATATTTTAATCGAGCAGGGAATATTCCTGTAGACAATGACTTATTAAATATGTAAGTTAATGGTGATGATATATATGGTGCACTTGCTTTTATTAATTGGGTAGTAATTCCATCGTATCCACAAGCTGCTTTAAGTTTTATAGATCTTATTATCTCCTCTATTTCATTGTTATTAGTTGCTTTTAATACCAATTTCTTATATGGTTTTGGAAATGAAGTGTATAAATAATCCATGAACTTCTTATCTGTTTCCACAGTATTATTTGTCCATTTCTTCGTAGAATTGCTTATATCTAAAAAAAAAGTTATTAAACGATCTTACTATATTTTTGTAGTATGTATAAGGAAGGAAATATTTAATTGGCCAGCAGATTGTTGTGCCATAACCAAAGCGAATGCATTTCGTAGCTTATATGTTGGTATGGTGACTGAAAGATTTAACCTTTAAGAGCCGAGCGACGCCATATGTCGTCGCGCAGTCCACGCGTGCCTCCGGCCTATTAAAATCTAATTTTAAGTTATAAATTCTTTTTCTACTTACATGATTTTTGGTCACCAGCTTTATAAGTTGTCTCTCTTCCCACCTGCGTCGTCTAATGGAATGTTGGCTTTGTGTGGAAATCTTGGAAACATCTGGAAATGCAGAGTCCCACATCACACTTCACGCACTTTATCCGGACGGTTCTTTGTTTCCCACGTGAAGAGCACACTCGACACCTCAATTTCGAAGTAGAGGAAGTCGGCCTGTGCTGTTGTTTGGCCTCCTCTATTCGAAATGACCCTGATGAAACGGCAGGGGTTCGACCCCTGGGCCGTTGAGGGCGAAGTGGACCCCTTCCAGCATGTTCCGCACAAGAGCGAGACGAAATTCTCTGTGTGACAACAGGATGTAACTGTTCAGATCCAGGAGATGGAAAAATAGTTTATTTGTCCATTTCCAGTTTCAACTACAGATTCTGTAACTGTTTGCCACAGTTTGCCCACAGCTCCACCTGAATAATTATTCACACTCCTCTTGCCACGCTGGTGTGGTGGTCCCCAGGTTGCCGACGAAGATGATGGTTCTTCATCGACTTCAATTTCTGATTCACTTTCTTCCTTGCAACTCTCAGAGTCATCGGTACAACAGTCTGAATTAGTGTCATTTATAAGCTGATTCTCAATTTCAGCGTCTTCCAAATACGAGGCCATGGTGGACACCTAAACACAGCGCTAGCCTTGAATGTTCTGACACTGCTCGGCTATATTTCAAAACAGACTACTTCTTGTTTGGCTATACGAGATAACACACAGTCAGTGTTTCTGCAAAGGATTATACATTGCCCACACTCGTGCATACCGAAAGGAACCTACGAACTGGAGAATGATGAACGAAGCGTAAACATCCGACCCTGTAGCCACACAAGCCATAGTTAGAGCATGATGTCACCAGCAGGCATTCAGACTGCAGAAATGTTCTGTGCAGTAACTGTATGCATTTTTGTGCACAGACGTTCAAAATTGAGGGAAAAAATTTTTGCATCAGTGTAAAAATTTTTAGAGATTTTAAAATCGGTAAATTACAATAACTGATTCTATATTCTTTCTACATAAAAGCAGCGTTTATTTCGTTCGTTTATCACAAAAATTGTAGAAATCACAGCATTTTGAGTAACATGATTACAATTTTTATTACTATACAATGAGGGGCATTTAAATTAAATCTGTCCCTGCTGCCACTACCGGAATTTAAATGGCCGTCTCTTAAAGGTTAATAAGTCATTTTGGTTTCCTGATCTTCCTCTAATTTAGATTTACTAAAAGACAAATCACTTGTATAACTTAAATTTCTGAAAAGAAGTTTTAAATGTATTTGTAATAATGCCAGTGCCATTCCTTGTGTAATTTTTATGTGCCCTGCATAGACTGTACGGGAGGTCAGTGCAAATCTTCCCTTGGAACTGGTACAGAAGCTTTTGGGATCTGACTCACCCCTGCTGGAGCTACGTTTCTCACCCTCTCTGAACATCCAAGCTGAAGTCTTAGCTGTGTATCACAGCCTTCTGAATTTGAAGAATATCCCATTACTGCAGGAAGCATACAGGTATGGTATTTTAGTCCTCTAATGTTCAAGTTGGGGATCACCGAAAGTTTCCTGCAGAAACTAGCTGATGTGTGAGAGGTATTAACAAGGTCATCTGGAAGGGGCTGACAGTTGTAAAACAACCATATTTAAAAAGTGAAACCGCAGTCAGTTGCATGAAGGTGAGGTGTTGTGGCATAAATGTTCAGTATATCTGGTTCTGATTTTGGTGTTATTTCAGAACATGCTTAGTAGGCCTGCTGTCCAACTCAGTGTAATGGCATACATGAACAAGGAAATTTTTCACCATCTGCCCCAAAATGTCAGTACCGCATTATCAGCAACTGTATTTCACTTTTCAGATATGCAGTGCTTGGAGGATGTTGGATGTAGACATGTTCCTTAAGAGAACTCCACAGAAAATAGTCACAGGGATTAATGTCAAGAGAATATGATGCCTAAGACTATCATTCTTGGCCGTACCATAGCTCAAGCAGTTAGTTTCTAGCTTCCCATTGTTGCAGCCTGGGTTCGATCCCAGGTCAGCTAGTGTCAGATTCATGGTGGACAAAGTGGCTCTGGGTTGGATTCTCTCCAAGTACTTCGGTTTTCCCTTCTAATTTTTATTCTGCCAACCACTTTGTAATCATAATGAGCCTATCATTGATGCAGTAAGAGTCCCCGCTACTGACATGCCACTAAGTAAAAAGTAAGTGAAGTAAAGGTATCCCTTAACAGGTCGTGGAGGCCCGTAAGGTTGTGAGATGTTGAGGTTCCCATACTTTCTCAACAATTGGCTCATAGATGGCTGCAAGGTTGTCAGCCCTATATGCCAGTCACCCTTTACCTCCAAGAATATTCCAAGAAAATTCCTGGTACTCATTTCTGTTGGAGGCTGAGTCAACCCTAGGGCCATAGTGCGGCTGGAAGGATTAGGTCAATTGAAAAATATTCAGTGACCTCATCGGGACTTGAACCTGTGACCTTCCAGCTTGTAGCATAGTGCCTCAACCAACTACGGTACTGCATGCCCCCCAGTATCACTAAGTAACCAACTTAAAGAACCACTTTGTGCCAAATTGATCACGGTATTAGTATGAAATTATTCAATAATAGAAAATGAGTATTTAATATGTCTAGAATGGTGTGTGACTGTGCTCATTCTTTTTGAAACAATATTTCATTTATATCACAGCTCATTCCCTGCAAAAAGGGAATAAAGTTCTCTTCCAGAAATGCGTTACAAAGTTCATAGGTCACATTCTTCTCTAGGAATGTTGCCCCTGCAACATCAAACTGTACACTTTGCTGGATGAAGGAGAGTATCTGTATGGAGGTTCTGATTTTCTGTTCCGCATATTTGACTGTTGTATGTGTTCTGTTCTGTTAATATCCATTCGCATAACACTGTTGTGTAGTGTAGGACACCATCTTTGTAACTGATGCTGGCAAATTAAACTCCAAGCATTGCAATATACAAGCATACTGACATAAGAACAAATGGTCGTACAAAAATAAAAAAGGATGAAAGTGAGGAAATCCTTTTGTGAAGGCCCTGCACAGTTTCTCTGCTCTCTCTTTGTGACCTGTACATGTTTTACAGTTTCATGGTCTTGCCACTAAACAGTGTCTTTGCTTGTGCCCTGCCTATATTTACAATTTCTGTGCTAGGATGCAACCACAATTGAAGGTCTTGTATCAAATAAAATTTTTTCAGTATAAGTTGAGCCCATGCCATGTAGCAGTAATGACATTTTATGGATGGAAAGAACAGGTACATAGAATCCTATATATGTGGTAAATATTTATGAAGGTAAAGTTATTCCTTGGCTTAATTAATTGAGCACGAAGCCATGAAGACTCGACAGGAGAATGGGGGTATGACTCCACCATTCTTGACCTCAGAACTAGATGGGATGAGTGGTCAACTTCATGCTTCTGCTTCTGTGTCCCCAGGGAAGCAGCCTCTGGTACTTATAAGGTAGGAGACTTATGCAGATATATATTGTGTATTTTTGTAAAAATTTTCTCAGCTTAAGACTGCTTTTTTCAGGTATGTTCTTGGAGATCTAGAGATAGCATACAAGATGTATGTGCCATCTATAGAAGAACTGTGTCAACATAATCCACACTCTAAGCTTATGTATAGACTGGACAATGTAGAGATTGTGATCCTGTTTCATCTACGTGCTCTCGCAGATCTGGGTAAACATTTTTGTTATATTTCTTTTAGGCCACGCCATAGCTCAAGCGGTTAGTCACTGGCTTCCCACCGTGGCAGCCCGGGTTCTATCCCGGATCTGGTCAAGTGGGATTTGTGGTAGACAAAGTGGCACTGGGGCAGGTTTTCTCCGAGTACTTCGGTTTCCCCTGCCAATCTTCATTCCACCAGTTGCTCCACAATCACCCTCATCTATCATCTGGGGCTGGTACAATAGGCCAGAAGTGGTCGCAGTACAAGGGACTTAGTCCCACCCCACTAGCAATAAAAATATATATACAGTCAACTCTCAATTATCCGGGGGCGGATTAACCGGTTTGCGGCTTAACCGGGGCTTTTTTTTTTTTTAAGTTTATATGTTGTTTAATATTCATTCACTTTTGTTTCACATGGTGAGTTTAACACTATTTTCGCACTAGTGTGAACCGAGCTCTGCATTATTTCGTCCCGTTATGCGAACACAATGTTCTAGGGTGGGGGTGAAAGAATGCAAGAATTTTTGGAAAGTTTCAAGGACAAATACACCGCCCCAGGTTATTTAACGGTACCATCTCAGTGTGAGAGTGCATTGTGAAAGTAAGTATCAGTTTCTTAATATAGATCTTCAAGTGCGTTAGCAAAATGTCGGGGTTTAAAAGGAAGCGTGTTGTGTTAAGTATTCAACAGAAACTTGAAATTATCAATCAGCTGGAAAAAGGAGCTGTAGTTAAACAATTAGCAATGCAATACGGTATTGGAGAACAAACTGTTCGTGATTTGAAAAAACAAAAGAATGAGTTAATTTCCTTTGCTTCGTCTTCTAATTCAAGCGGAATGAAGAAGAGAAAAACCATGAAGAAATCAACATACGATGATCTCGACAAAGCGATGCTGACCTGGTTTAATCAACTAAGGGCACAGGGAACAACAATAACAGGACCAGTTTGTGCTAAACAAGCTAAATATTTTTTCGAAGCACTTGAACTAGAAGGGAGTTTTGACGCTTCTTCCGGTTGGCTAACACGTTTCAAGCAGCGTCATGGAATACGAGAAATCAGTATTCAAGGTGAGAAATTGTCAGGGGACTTGTCAGCATCAGATCAATTTTGCACCAATTTTGATAGTTTTGTGAAAAGTGAAAATCTGCTGCCAGAACAAATCTATAATGCCGATGAAACGGGTCTTTATTGGAAATGCTTGCCAACCAGAACATTGGCATTTCAAAATGAAAGACAGGCTCCAGGTCACAAATCCAGTAAGGAGAGATTGACAGTCTTGTGCTGTTCTAATGCATCAGGAACACACAAACTAATACCAGTAGTTATCGGCAAAGCGAAAAGACCACGCTCTTTTAAAGGAACAGTAGCTTCAAGTCTGCCTATCCATTATTTTAACCAGAAAGTAGCTTGGATGAATAGAGCGATATTTAAAGAATGGTTTGATTTTAAATTCGTGCCTCAAGTTCGTGACCATCTAAAATCCCAAGGCCTACCTGAGAAAGCTGTGCTCCTCATTGACAATGCGCCCTCACATCCTAACGAAAGTCTCCTGAGGTCAGATGATGGAAATATTTTTGTGAAATATTTTCCCGCTAATGTTACCGCACTTATCCAACCAATGGATCAAGGAGTTATCTCAAGTATGAAGAGAATCTACAGATCAAATTTGCTACAAAAGTACATCGATGAAGGCAATGATCTGACGTGTTTCTGGAAGTCCTTTTCAGTATTAGATGCCATATACGAGATTTCAACAGCGTGGGATACAGTAAAGCCATCTGTATTGAAAAATTCATGGAAGAAACTGATGCCTTTCATCACTAATGAAGATGACGAAATCCATGGATTCACTGGATTCAGTGAAAATGAGATAGCCATAAAATTGACAAAAGTGGCTAACCAAGTTCATGGTGGTGAAGAAGTCAACGAGGAAAATATAAGAGAGTGGTTTAACTGTGACTCGTGTGAACCGGGCTTCGAAATGTTAAGCAGTGACGAAATCGTAACTTCAATGGGGGTGCAGCCAGAAGAGCGGGAAGAAAGTGAGAATGAGGAAGAGGTGGACAGTGTTGCCAGTAAGAAAGTATCACATGGTGCTGCGCTTAATCATTTGGAATCCTTACTAGACTATCTTGAGAGTGAAGAGGACAGTTTATTAAGTGACAAGCTAATATTACGTAGGCTTCGTACGGATATCCGTAAAAAGGAAAATGCCGCGAAAAAGCAAAAGACAGTATTAAATTATTTTAAGTGTTAAGTGTGACCGTAAAAAGTGCTGGATGTTGTTGAACAGTGATTGAAATAACTAATTCATACTGAGTGTAATGTAAAGAAAGTATTAAATAGGCCATGAGATGACATAGAAATGAGGATGAATAAATTTAAATACAGGTAGGTCTATAGTATTATGAAGGTATTAAAAGGTAAAAGGTAAAGTTGTTCCTCTGCTCAACGAATTAAGCCCTACGCCATTAAGGCGTGTGGGGGAGTGGATGTATAGATCCAAATTTTCTTGACCTCGGCACTAGTTGGAGGTGAGTGGTCAGCTTCACGCCCCGGCCGCTTTACCCCCGGGGAAAGAGCCCCCGGTACCCATTGGATAGGAGGTTGGATGGACCCCAGAGCCGGTCTGGACGATTTGGAGAAGTTAAAATTCTTGACCCTACCGGGACTCGAACTCCGACCCTTCACAGTCGTCCAGCCCGTATAATAAAATTTGGCTTAACCGGGTTTTCGATTAACCGTGACTTCCATCCCCACCATTAGCCCGGATAATCGAGAGTTGACTGTATATTTATTTTACCATAAGTTCAGTCTTATTACTTTCATTAAAGCCACATATTGTTTCTTTCTAATTGTCTTTACATCATATGTGTAAAGAACCTGTTGGTGTGGTCCTACTATGTGAAAGGTCTCAGGTTTGAGGCTGGCACAGTATCTTTCTGTGTTAGTCAGATTACTACTACATAATGCTTAATAGTAAGGATGATCTGAAAAATAGATTTTAGTTAGTCTAAAATTACTTGTATCTTTGTGAAAGCATCTTGCTGTGGATATGCTAAACCCACCATAGAATTTTTATTGGTCTGTATACAGATATGTTGACTCTTAAGGTCTCCTTTTGATACATGCCTGTGTTCATGTATTTGACAAAATATTCACATGATTGAGGACTGTGGCTGTGAGGCTTAATCAATGAATGGCTGCCTAGAGAATGTTTTACAGAAGTCTTTAGTAATGCATAAATATATATTACAGGAATTTAGAAATAGAACTGTCTATATGTGAATTAAGTGATTGTTAGTTAGCATTAGTATCATGGTACTGTAACTTCTTTAAAATGATTGTCATTACTTTGCTTTACTTACCCTAGCAGATGTATTGATGAAGGAAAGGCCCTGAATAATAGTTATGCTCACATTTTGTATCTTCTATGCCAGCCCATCCTCTCTTGCTGATACAACAATCATGTGGATACGCAGTCTTGATCTAGATCATCGTATCACTTGTAATTCCACACCAGCTTATTTAAGTCTGTTCTTTTAATATGTCGAAACCACTGTATTATTTATTGTTGACTTCTGTAATAATGCATTTACTCTCAGTAAGTTGTAAAAATAAGTAAATTTTTTATGTAAAACTGTCATGTAACAGTAGAATGCCATTTTCTTTATAGCAAATGCAAGTAATTCCATCATTGGAATGTGGGCACTGAAACCCAGCATTTTGGAATTGTTGGCGGTGAAGTTGTTGCCTTTCGACAAGGGCTTGACACAACATAGTCCATTATTGCAGTACTCTGTGCTATATCTGCTTTACAGTCATTGCTCGAGGTGAGTAGGATTTATGAGGGATAACTGTGGTATTTTCACAAACTGAGGCAAATGAATTTTACTTTTATTTAATTAAGTAGTGGAGAGCATGATTCATCATGTATTTGCAAATGAAGAAATACAACTTGTCAAGTTCTGTTACTATCAGATTCATATGCAGTTCATTCGATTCTTTACTTCTGTAACTTTGGACCTGTTAGTCAGTTCCTGTTCCTTTGGGATACATCATAATGATGCAGCATCCATTGATGTGATTTCATATACTGGCCTCAAATTACCTTTTTCTTTGTGCTGTTGCAGGTACAATCACTTTGTATCAAGCAGTGGTTTGGTGAGTTCTGCACATGGGAGATCAAATGTACATGATATTCTTGGTTTGTCAGTCACCCTTGGGCCTGAAGTTCCAACGACTTCTCCTACTGTTGGACACCTCTCCATCATACTCAATCTCCTGGCAAATATGCTGTCACAGGTTTGTGCATGAATCTCATATTTGTGTGGGATTTAAGGTTTTTGCAGCAGTGACTGTGAAGATTACAGTCTCTTTGGATATTACGTCATATACGGACATTTCAGAAGAATGTGCTGCATACATCTTAGAGTAGGAGATTAAGCCAATTTTGGGGAAAGTGGTATGGATATAGGGAGAGAGAGTACTGGGTTTTGGTCCCTAAGTGAACCAGTAAAGCCAAAGAACAGTGACAGGATATGGGGCCCTTAATAAGGCTTTTTCCCAGGGGGAGTGGGAAAAATGGTGGCTGTGAGTGAAGTAGTGGGAAGTTGATAGAAGCCATGAGAGACAGGGTGAGAAAATGGTGGCTGTGAGTGAAGTAGTGGGAAGTTGAGAGAAGCCATGAGAGAGAGGGTGAGAAAATGGTGGCTATGAGTGAAGTAGTTGGAAGTTTAGCGAAGCCATGAGAGACGGTGAGAAAATGGTGGCTGTGAGTGAAGTAGTGGGAAGTTGAGAGAAGCCATGAGAGACAGGGTTAGAAAATGGTGGCTGTGAAGGGCCTGATTCAAAGGCATGTGTTCACTGGGAGACATTATATTGCCCAGTCTCCCTATCCTTGGAAGAAGACCCTTTTAAGAGCCCATATTCTTTCTCCATTTTCCCTTACTCCTTTAATTTCCCTCAGGGTCCATGTATTTGTACTCCATGCTCTCTCAGTGCTTGACATACTCTTCTCTCTTGAAGGTGGAGGCGGTATGTTCTAGATACTGATGCACATGGTGTCATATTCCAGAAGACAGTAAGCATGTATAGTCTTCTGCTCTATATCAGAGTGAGCGCTGTATGGTTTTGTGAATTGCGTCATAGAAATTTGTACCAAATATCTATTCTGTTATTCACAAGCACTGTTCTGCAGAACCTCTGTTACTCAGGATTCCATTGATATCATTAGGCCTCTGAAGTTATTTTATACAAGAATTATAAATGAAGACATCTTCATTTAATCGCTTTCATGGCTCTAAGTGCCAGGAACAGTATATGGCATTTTTTTTTTAATTGGACTTCCATGCAGAACCATTCAGTGCCAAATGTCACAGTATGGTGAATAACCCCGTTGCTTCAGTTTGCAAGTCTGGGTTTGATTCCAGGACCAGAGACTGACTAAGCTTTTTCATGGTTGTCATTATTTTCTTCATGTGAGTGAATAAGCTGTGAACTTTTCCACCCACAAGTTCACAGTCGTCTCACCATCTAACACTGTAATCTGTGTAGTTAAAAAGCCATTGTGAAATATGCCAAGAATTAAGTACATTTGTGGAAATAGGTATGTGCTTCAGAATCAGGGGATGAGCAGGTATAGTGAGGGTAGTACAGATCTAAAAAAGTAGGACATTGAAAGAGGTTGCCATTCTTGGACTGCCCTCCATTTCTGTAAGAGTGTACTTTTAAATGTGCTAAGAAGCACTGGGGGTATCTGTTTTACAATAAATAAATAAATCTGCCCATAAACTAGATATGCAGTGTGCAGTCGATACTCATGAGTGCCTCTGTTTCTCTCTGTGCTTACCACTTTATTGTGTGCTGGACGTGCGCCAGCTTCTGCATTTGGCAAAGCTAAGCTGTTGATGAAACTGGACTTAAATGAAGAATTAATTGAATGTGGTGTGCACACATCGCTATTAGCATATGACATAGAGATATGATAAATTGTAGTGTAAATATATCAGAATTATCTAATTAAAGACGTGTTTGCAGGAGACATCAGAGGAAACGAGGCTGTTGGTTCTGTTATGGACACGTGAACTTCTGGCCCAGGCTCAGCCATACTTTACTGTACTGCATCAGACAGCAGAGTTTATGAAAATCTTGTTTGCCATTATTGGTTCTGGCTTCCATCATAGTGCAGCCATTGTCCTAGGGGTAGCAGGAAATGTTGAACAGATGTTAGCTGCCAAAGAGGTGCCATGGAAAGTAAGAACACTTAGTAATATTATATTGTAGCATCCTGTTGCAGTTTCATTTGGTGTTTTAATTAGTTAGGATAGCGACTTGCTGCAAGCTGGATGACCAATGGGTCAGAGTTCGAGTCCCGGTGGGGGCAAGAATTTTCTCTTCCCCAAATCGTCCAGACTGGCTCTGGGATCCACCCAACCCCCTATCCACTGGGTACCAGGGGCTGTTTCCCCGGGGGTAAAGCAGCAGGGGCGTGAAGCTGACCACTAACCTCAAACTGGTGTCAAGGTCAAGAAAATGTTGATCTATACATCCATTCCCCCATACGCCTTCATGGCATAGTGCTTAATTAGTTAAGCACAGGGACAACTTTACCTTTATGTGCAACAGTATATTAAAACTTAACAAAAGCTAGTCAGTTTAAAAGTTTTCATGATATGTTTTGACCGAATTGGTCATCAAAAGGTGTTAAAAGTTGTGGGTGAGGAAACTGCTGTCTTTCTGCATTGATGTTTAATTGCTGATATATGGTTCCTCAAGTGCGCATGTGTGTGTATTCCTCTTTGCTGTGTTGTGTACCCTGTCATGTTATGTTCCGTGCCTTGTTTCCAGCTGCAACTAGAGACAAGAACACTTAGCGTTTACGTAGCTGTCTGATTGTATATGAGGATACTGTAATTTTGTTGACTGGAAATTTGTTTGGTGTGCCAGTTCTCATAGGTTAATTGAATGTCAGCAGAAATAGTCATGTTGTCACTGTTGGGATTCCAACTGATACAGAAGCTGCAACCAATGCTCATATATCAGATTAATACTCATCAGCCCATGATCCATGGCATAATTTACAGCCATTCTTAAATTCTAGGTAGCATAATATTATTTTGCTGAGCTGTAAGAATTGCTGTTTTCCTGATTTTATTTTCTGTTATCTTTTAAAGACTAATTTGTGTTGAATGTTGCTGCGGTTTTTGTATAAAGGTTTTGTTGAATAAGTCAATTATGATTTCTTGTCCTGACTGTATAACAGATTTCTGATGAATTGCTTTATTGTGCTGTTGTGTGAAGTTTTTAGGCACAAATGCTCGATGTATGTAACTGTGACATGTTTAGACATGGTGGTAATAACTAGATTTGTAGACTACTATCTGTACTGCACAGTGTGAAACAGATAATATAGTGTGTTTGGAAACGTTGCTGTCCTACGTGTCCTTGACTCAGAAGACACCGAGAAACTTGACTTGACCTATGTTCTGGAGGTATGTGGTTCAAATCTGCTGGGGCATCAGCTGTCCTTACTGAGATTCACATGTTTTGCTCAGTCACCCCAATCAGAGGCCAGGATAGTACCTTAAATTAAGCCATGACCACTTCATTTCACACATTTACCAATTCATTATTTACTTTCTTCCAGTCATTTGATTCCTTAGTCTCAGTTCCTAACAGCTTTGTTAAATGAACTGCAAGTAAATAAATCAGCAAAAGTTGGACCACTTGTTCTGTAGATGTGACATATCCAAAAGCAATCTGAATGTTTGAGACCACTGCAGCAGCTCTTCATTGCACACATCCTGACACCCTGCTATAGGCAAAGAATAGTAGTTAACTCTTAAGGAGCACCATAGTGCAAATATTAAAAAAGGGGTTTCAGGATATGGACTAAATTTATGTGGCTGTTATAAATACAATAATAAACCTTATGCTGTCATAAAATGCAGGACTTCACTGAGCAGTTGAATGACTATCAGCTTTACAGGCAGAACTCTGCTCCATTGAATTCATCAGTTTTAATACATTTTTAAATTTTATATGTCATTTAGAATAACAATGTGAATGTGCTTTTAGGCCTGGCTGATTTTCATAGCATTTGTTTTTGTGGTTATGTCTTCAGGGTGAGGTTTTGTCTGAGATTCTTGAACTCTGTGTTCTGCATCTGAATTCAACAAACAGTAGAGTTAGGGCCAAGTTCAGTCACCTGCTGTCTCTGGTGCCCTGGTACTTCACTATTTCAAGACTCTCTGACGCAAATCGTGCTGTGGAAGTGAAGGTTAGTATGCACATATTTTGCACACATTGAAGTTATAAAATCTTAATGTCAGGACTTCATTGACATTATTTTGTTCTTGACTGGTTGCTGACATGTTGTGACCTGGTGCCTGGAATTTGTATAGGCCTGATGTAGCCCATTTTGTATGCTTACAGAACAAGCCCCTGCAGGAGCTGTCAGGTTTCACTCTTGACATTCTGCGTGCTGCACAGAGGCACCACTTGTCAAGGGGATCTTGTGGTGAAATGCAGCCACAGCAGTTTCGCAAGTTCATGGGCTATCTTCTGCAGGGTGTACAGCATAGGTAAGTCAACCGAACATGCCGGCAACTCTACTTGCAAAAAATCCTCATTATACAGTGTGACGTGGATGGCACAACGGGAAGTGCGGGTCACGTGAACTCTGTGGTCTCGCGAGTGTACTACGCTACATTGTTTTTCATAGTTACTGCTGTGAGAACCTCAGATCTCAGATAGTTTTGTGCTGCTAAAGTAGCTAGAGTGAGAAACTGATCCCTCACGTACAGGTACAGTGACATTTAGAATTTGTGGAGCTTCACTTCCTCTTATATCTTCATGATACGGTGGTTAGGTGTAGAAAGAACTTTACATTTACATCCACAAAAAAACTACTTTTATTTTCTCTTGGGAGAATTTAGGTTTTTCACAGCAATCACTGTGAAAATTACTGTATTTTGGGTTGTGACACTGTGTATTTTGATAACTGACATTTCAGAGTAACATGCAGCCTCTTCAGGGTTGAGTACTCCATGCATGGATAAGTGGTATTGATGTAGGGAGAGGAGCTGCATAGATAAAAGATCTGTTCGAACCAGTGGAAAGAAGAACACTGTTCCTCTTACCCCTGTTTATTTGCATAAGGCCCATCACTGTATGTATGTGCACATTTTTTCCGAGCTCAGCTTGATCTTCAACCCTGACAAAGTAGACATCTCATTCTTGTGAAATGTTGGCATCACATCCCAGGAGAATGCAATCCTCATATTTACCTTTTGTTGCAGTGATAATGACTGGCTGCAAGACATGTTCTGTAGCTGCTGGCCATTGCAGCCTTCACATCGGGCTCCGGATGAGGACAAGGCAGTCTCTGTGTTTGGTAACTTGGCGTTAGCATCCAGTTTGGTTCTTCTCTTGTGGGCTGCATGGGAAGCATCTCAGTTGTGTGTAATGTACAAGTTACGTACACCTCTGGGAAAGCCACAGGACACCTTCACCAATATTGAAAGTAAATAGGACTATTCATTTTATCAGTTGTATCTGGAACTGAATGCTTTTTTTTTAAGACGCTAGCAGAAATTTGCCATTGCTATGTTCACAGGCGGTGTGTAGGGGCTGAAGGCTGTCAGATTTCATTCTTTTATTCCTTTAGGAGTTACGTTCCTGAACCCCCTCGAGAGATTAAAAATTCATTTTTACAAAGACAGTGAAAGCCCAATTTAGTGTTTATTTAAAATTTTCCTCTCATTTAATGTTCAATTTTGAAGATCCCAAGGGGGTACGTGGTGTTGTAGTTGGTTGAGGCACTATGCTACAAGTTGGAAGGTCGAGGGTTCGCTTCCCAATGAGGTCACGGGATTTTTTCAGTTTACCTAATCCTCCCAGCCACATTATGGTCCTGCAGTTGACTCAGCCCCTAAATGAGTACCAGGAATCTTCCAGGGGGGCGGTGGGAAGGTTAAAGAGTAGATGGTGCGTAAGGCTAAGAACCTCACTGCCATCTATAGCTGATTGTCTAGAAAATGTGTCTCAATTCTATGGGCCTCCAGGCTGTTACAGGGATAACTTTACTGTTTTAAGATCCCAGGTCAGCAGTCTCACTGTTCATTTTCTTCCATGTAAGAATTTCACAGTTTAGCATTGAAATCCACTGCTCTCCACAGAAACCTTAAGTGGGGGTTTCATCATATGTAAGGGGGTCACCCTTGTCCCTTTGTATTTTCTTTCACAGAAGTAGCCAAGCAGTATGAATATACACAGTTGGTTTAAAAGTTACTAATGGAAGATACTCACAGAGCCCATTCTTCCAGCATGTTTTCAGTTTCTTCTCTTGTGTTTTGTAAATCGTGTTATTTATTGAAGCATAGGGGATGTACATAACATACTCACAGTCCAGTCATAACATCCAGTATTAAACAAATACAGTCAGTCATAAGGAAGCTCTTGTGATGGTTTTCATGAGAATTACGCTTGATGACAGAGAGAGAGAGTTCTGTTGGCAGATCCGCCTACCAGAGGAATTTTACTGCCTGCAACCATTGTATGTAGCATTCTGTCAGTACAGTGAGTTACCTTAATCTTAAACAGCACCGTAATGATTCTGTTGAATACAGAATTGAATTATTGTGTCATTTTTTTTTTATTTGTACTTATATTGACAAATTAACCGTTTTCAGGGGCCATAAAGAGTCTGGCTCGTGAGATCAACCAGCAGCAAGGAGTGCCAGAGGACTCATCATCCTCTCTTCCTCGTTTCAAAGAGGAAGTGACAGTAACTAATGGCACTTCATGTGGCAGTACTTGGGAGCAGTGGAGAATCAGGCTTTTGCTGGAGTTCCTGGAGCACTTAGAGAAGGCAATGCACAATGCTGCAGAGGGTTGTGCAACAGCCATGATGCCCCCTCCCAAGGTGAGCAGTACATGAACGCTCCTGTATCCGTGGCTGGTATGGGTCTCACGGAGGAGTACTGATGCCAGTAAGTTGTCAGAAACTCTCTCCTGTGAAGCAGGCTCTGCCAGCAAATCTGAGCTCCCTACCTCCAAGAGATGGCCATGGATGCATTCCATGCTGAGACCACAGAGTGTAGCAAATTGGACTAAGGAGAAGGGCAAGTGTCTGGTGCCCTAAAATGGGACTGTGTGGCTAAGGGAGTAAACCCTGACAGGAAATCTGTGGTCCCCCACCAGATTGGCGGGTTAAGTCAAGAATCTGAACAGGACAATGTCTTGAAAGTGGCCAGAGCCCGAAGTGGGGTTTAGAGCCATTAGTGATTGTGGTCGCAGTGGCGGTGGCGGCAGCGGCAGCAGTATCAATCATCACCACCGCCATTACCATCTGTGTCCACTGTCTCTGTGTTCTCTTTTATGTATATTTTCCCTTAAATGGCTCTGAAAACATTTGGGAGTTATTCTGGCGCATTTTAATATTTTAATGTTAAGTCTTTAAATTTCATGCAGTAACAAATAGTTTATCCTGTAATTGCATCTATGATATTGCAACTTAATAGTTAAATATTTGAAGTAACTTATGGTGGTTTTTTAGCCTGTACGAACATTCTTCCACACAAACAAGAGCACCTGTGGTGAGTGGCTGACAAGAATTCGCACTGCTGTTGTGATAGTGGCAATCCACGCAGGACAGGCAACCACTGCAGTTCGCCATGGGCATTGTATGTTGCAGGATATGGCAGATGCTAACAGTACTCAGGTATGTTAAAATCAGCCTCTAAACACTGACCAGATTGGATTCAACCCTTTTGCATTGGTCCACTGAGTTCATGGAATTGAATATACATCAGGTAAATGTGAAAGTTGAAATTTTCCATGTCCTTAATTAAGTATCTTGCTATGAAGCAATGGTGGAGTAGAGGTATGGCTCCACATATTCTTAATCTTGGCACTAGATTAAGGTGAGTGGTCATCTTCAGGCCCTAGTTACTTTATTCCAAGGGAAAGAGCCACTAGTATGCGTTAAGTGAGAGACTGGGACTAGAGATCCTTGGACTGCTGTGGAGAAGAGGAATATATCTGCCCTTGCCAGAAATCCCCAGTCATCCACCCCGGTAGCCTATTCGTTGTACTGATTGAATTATTCTGGTTCCTGAATATGTCAGTCAAATATGAAATAACAGCAGCAATTGTTGACACACTGTAAATGGTACAGTGAGAAAACATTGTTAAATAAAATAACTAAGAGCACAGATGAGAACTGGTATGTATAGTTCTGTTTTAGTAGTATTCGGTGTGATGTTTGATTTAATTTCTTTCAGGTTGCATTATTAAGTCTTAAAGAGTTTTGATTCAGTAATGTGAGATTGTGTTGACTAATTTACATTTCTTTTTTATTTTATTAAAGGGTCCAGAATTTGAAAGGGCTGTCATGTATGTCTGTTGGGCCCTGTGCAAACTCCGTGAACCGGAAGCAATACAAGGTCTGTATGCATGGTGCAAAGATGTTGCTGGACGGAAGTTCGCTTGGTTGAAAGCTGCTTCTGAACAAGCCCAAGGAAGGTAAGCCCTGGCTGTTTGATTCTGTTTGCATTCTTGCCAAGTGACTGTTCTTTCCCAAGGCGAGCAGGAACGGTACTATTAAATAATGATTGGTGAATTTGTCGGTGTAACTGCTCTACAGTCGTCGGCTGTCGTAGTGAAATAAAGTATGAGATTGGTTCTGTAATTCCATTTGTTGTATCTTCTGGAATGTGAATCATTTCTCAGGTTTGAAGCAGCAGCTGAGGATTACCAAAAATTACTGAACCAGGAGTGCGTTGGGTCAACACCGCAGTCTTCACCAACACACCAGATTACTGATGAGAACATATCCAACCCAGTGAAACAAGTTGGAAAAACTGAGACAGAACAGCATATGCTGGGATTCATGGCTGAACAGGTAGATGGAACAATTTAGCTAACCCTTCTCTAAAAAAGTTTCTGTTTATTAGTTTGTTCTGTGTTGGTTCTCAGGATTTTAGAATACCAATCAGGACTCTTTGCTGAATGCTTGGGTAGTATCTTCAACATGAGCCCCCTTCTGCATCTTTATATATTCATCACACGTGGCCATCATCCTGTCTTGTTCAAAACTGTATGTATTTATAAAGCTGAATCATTAAGTAACAAGAGTAAATAAATTTAGTCTGATTTATAATGATGAATTATGAAGGAACATCTTCAAGTTGGAAGAAAATATTGATGATGTTCCAGGCTACATAACATTCATAGAAACTAAAACGATAAATCTAAATAGTTACTGCCATGACAATCTCAAAAGTTACATGTTGATAGTCCATGCTAGCCTTACTATGTTGTAAGGTTTATAATTGTTTAGAGCAGTTACTCTTTCACTGATTGTAACCATTTATGGTCTGGATGTGAGTTCTTTTTTCACTTGTTACCTCACTGAAATGCCACTGCTCAGTCACTGTGTTCTTGTCTTCTGGCATTCTCTTTCCGCCTGCACTCATCCAACATGATTCACAACACCCTTCGCTTCTGTGATGCTGCTTTTTGTTCTGTGCCCAATTAAGTCCCTGTTACTAAAACTGCTTTATGAGTGTGACCATGCTGTGGGAAGACTTCAGATGGTTCTTGGCGATGGCTGTCATTGTCAGCCATTGGCCCTTGAACATTCTAAGGGTCTCAGCCTTTCCTTTGAAAAAGAGGCATGCAGTACAGAACCACAAGTCTTATTTTGGACTCTATCCATCCTCTGGTATATATAAGACAAAAAACCACAACATTTCAGAGACTGGATCTATCTCCGTCCTCAGGTGGATGGGGCAGGTTAAACCTACTCAGTTTGGCCCGTTAGACAAACCTGGTCCAGTGATTGAGACTAGCTCTTTTTAACGGGCCAAGCTGAGTAGGTTTATCCTGCCCCTGCCCCATCCACCTGAGGATGGAGACAGATCCAGTCTCCAAAACATTATGGTTTTTTGTCTTATATATACCAGACAATGGATAGAGTCCAAAATAAGCCTTATAGTCCTGTACAGCATACACCATCGTCAGAATCCTTTCAAGTCTAGGAGGCATGCAACCTCCCTGCATGGTCAGTTTGTCTGACAATAAATAGATTAAGCATTTGGAGGAAAGTTGGCGTTATACGAATAATTTCTTAAGAGAACTTGTTGTCTCATCTAGAGAAAAGCACTTGTTTATGTTTAAGCATTTGGAGGAAAGTTGGCATTATACGAATAATTTCTTAAGAGAACTTGTTGTCTCATCTAGAGAAAAGCACTTGTTTATGTTAAATTTATATATTTTCATGTGCTTTGGAATTAATTTTTAAGTAGTTCTACTGTATTTTGATTCTGTCATATCTTATTGCAAAGATGTTTGGTTTTGTTTTTAAGTTAACAGAGTGTTACAAGGCTGTAAATGATTGGACTGATCTTCTCAAGTGGAAGGAAAAGGAGGCAGAACTGTTGATGAATCAGAATGGTGGAACCCCACAAAAATATGTAAGATTCAGTAGAAATATTCATTATGAAAAAGTGAAATAGTTCTGTCCAGTGTGACTGGTTAAGATTTTTTTTTCTTACTTCAGTTATTCATGCCCTTACATGTTTTGGTCTTCAGAGGGACACCTTTACATCAGTACAGTTAGAAGCCACTATTACAGTACATGTTCTAAAAGTTAAAATACATTGTGTTTCAAAAAGAGCTTTACAACTTTGAAAGCTTATATAAATTTATACAGAGGACATACACAACGTTTTGAACTGTCATAATGTAGCAAAACACACCGAGTTTTACCTCGGATAGTTATGGTTCAATGTGACTTCCATTGGTAAAGTGGCAGACGTCCCACCTGTAGTCAGTCTCTTGCCACACGCTACGTAGCATCTCTGGCGTCACTTCTGCAACTGAGGCAGTAATTCGAATTCAGAGCTCAACGACACTTGCAGGCAAAGGTGGTACGAACACTTGATCTTTAACGAATCCCCATAAGAAAAAATCCAGGGGAGTAAGATCCAGGGAACAAGGTGGCCATGCTATCGGCGCCGCTCTACCAATCCACCGACCTGGGAAACGGGTGTTGAGGTACTCGCGCACTTCTCCAAGGTAATGAGGGGGTGCGCCGTCCAGCTGGAAGTGAATGCATACATCTTGGTCATCTTCGTCTAACTGTGGAATGAGGAACTCTTGGAGCATGTCCAGATATACGATACCGGTAATGGTCGTCTCCATGAAGAAGAAGGGCGATACACTCTTTCTTTGCTGGGGTGCAAAACACGTTCACCTTTGGGCTAACAAGAACATGTTCCAGGGAGACACGTGGATTTTCGCTGCCCCAGATCTGCAGTTGTGGGTATTGACCTTACCACTTAGATGAAACTCATGACTGAAAATTACGGAGTCCAGAAACTTCTCATCGTCTTGTATTCGATAAAACATTTGCATACAGAATTCCTTATGAACCACCTTATCTGCATCCATAAGGTGTTGAACAATGGATAGTTTGTATGCTTTTAAGTGTAAACATTTTTGTAACACTCCACACAGTAACATTTGGAATACGAGTTTCCCAAGACGCATGACGCATTGACTTTCGTGGACTTTGAACGAAGCTCTCCCTAATCTGTTCCACTGTAGTGTCAGAAACACGTGGCCAACTGGGTGGCTTGGCATGGCGCACAGAACATCCAGTCTGGACAATATTCTTGTGCCAGGATTAAATTGTAGGCCTACTGGGAGGTTCCTTGCAATACTGAGTGTGAAATTTCCCTTGAACTTGTGTAGCAGACTTCGTTTCTTCAAACCAAAACACAGCGAGCACACATTGCACCTGTGAAAGTAGCCATCTTGATTTCAACTGCGGGAGCGCTCATGGTGGCAGTATTGGGTACTACAGTACCACATGCATGAAACTGTGTGTTTTGTTACATTATGACAGTTGAAAACGTGTATGTCTTCTGTATAAATTTATAGAAGCTTTCAAAGTTGTAAAGCGCTTTTTGAAACACCCTGTATATACATACAATATAAATACTATACAGTTGGGTGTAAAATCTAAAGTCTTTACAGCTACAGCGGCTGTTCCGATACATTAAAATATTTATAGTTAGTTTGATAAGATTCTATTGGAATTTGTAAACCAAGCTGGTTCGTGTCGTCCCTCTTATTATTTCTTTTGACAGGGGCCGAATGTGTGCCACCTGTCATTCTCGAGAAGAGGGTTCTTTAATGTTGTCCTGTATGTGTTTGTGATAGATGTTCTTCACAAATGTAGTAATAAATAAGAGATGATGATTGCCTCATTTAGGATTATCACATTTTTCTGCTCTTGTGAATAAAATTAACACACCATAGGATGGTCTTATTTATCCTTGTATTAGCATTTCTTTATCTCTGAAATTCCTGATTGAATAAAATTCTTGAAAAAGTTGTCATGCAGTCGAATTTGGATTTTCATTGCTATGGTATAATCCACTTCTTTATGTGAAGTTGAAATCAGACTATGGAAATATTCTCAGAACAACTTCCCATGCACAGTATTGATTCTGTTGAACAATATATTTGTCTTTGCATTGAAAGAATTATCAAAATTGGTGGTGCATGCAGAGTAGCAGTGAAATGAAATTGAATGTTACATGGGAGACAACTTTAATCAGGAAACGTGAGATGGAGATTCCTCTGTACATTGTAGTCAACTCTCATTATATCTCAGTGTTACAACTGTGAAAGCGGTTGATGAACTGATTGCAGCTTTATCTGTGTCTTTTCAGTTAATGAGCAGTGCGACCAGTACTGCGCATGCCAAAGCAATGGCCAAATTTGAAGAAGGGGAATTTACAGCTGTGAGTGAGTTGATGAAGTGGAGTGTTGAAGGAGCCTCTCCTACAGAACAGATGTGGGACAGTGTCAGTAACAACAGGAAGTGTTGGAGTAGTTACAAGCTTATGGGTAAAGCATACACCATGCTGACAAGCATAGCAATGACTCTAGTTGCAGATGGTGGAAGCAGCGATGTCGAAACTGAGTGAGTAGCTGGAACAGAAGTAGCACAAGATAGCAAACAGTTTTAAAATGTATTCTGAAGGAGTGGAATAAGTAGTTTCTTTCCAAGGGCAAACTAGTTTGTACCTCCTGAAACAATGCACCTGTCACTCGTGCATTTGAAAAAAATNTGTCCCTGGAAAGGGCATCTTACTAATCTATTTCCCACTTGTGTCAAAAAACATTCTATGCCCCTTAAAAGGGCTATTTTCCTACCCACTGTTCCTATGAGGGTAAGTCAATAAGTAAGTTACAAATAGATATAGAACTTAAACAAATAAGAGTACTGATTTGAAAAATGCTTTTATTTCTCAACATAACCTCCCTGTACATTGAGGCACTTGTCCCATCGTTTCACAAGCCCATGAAAACCAGCTGCATAAAATTCTTTGGGCTGCTGTCGGAACCAGGTGGTGACTTCTCTTTCTACAGCTTCATCACTGGGAAAATGTTCAGCCGAAAGATGATGTTTAAGAGGGCCGAACAAATGGAAGTCGCTTGGAGCAAGGTCAGGGCTATATGGAGGATGCTTGAGGACTTCCCACTTGAAATTTCGCAGCGTTTCATTTGTCCTGTTGGCAGTAAAGGGATGCGCGTTATCATGCAAGAGCAACACGCCTTTGGTGAGGAGTCCTGGTCACTTCCATTGAATGGCCTTACGAAGTTTCCTGAGGATGTTACAGTAGGAGTCGGCATTTACAGTTTGTCCTTGAGGATGAAATGCGGTGAGCAGTTTGCCTTCTTGATCCCAGTCACCGCCATTTCCAACAGCAGCCCAAAGAATTTTATGCTGCTGGTTTTCAAGGGCTTGTGAAACGATGGGACAAGTGCCTCAGTGTACAGGGAGATTATATCGAGAAATAAAAGCATATTTCGAATCAGTACTCTTATTTGTTTAAGTTCTATGTCCATTTGTAACTTACTTATTGACTTACCTACGTATTAGTCTGGCTTGGACTCTTTTCCTGACCTTGTGCCTTGGGTCTCACTGACCACTTCCTGACAGTGTTCTTATATAGCTGAGCCAGTTCTCAACCTACATACACAAGATTACAGATGTGAGTTTGATAGCTTCTTATGTGAATTCCATATGGTCTCAGTTTCATCCAGATACCCTGTTACATTTGGAGATGGAATGTTTTGTACCATTTAACAATTCACTGACTTACAGCATCACACAAAATTTGGCATTCTCCTACCTCAAAACTGCAGAGTTATAAAACAGTGCTGTTGTAAATAAGATCTGAAAGTTTGTGATGGTTGTATATTAATATAATTACAGTATGAGCCCACTAATTTTGACAAACCGTATTCATAATTATTAGAAGTGCTACTGAAAATATGTTCAGGGAAGTTATAAAATGAAATGAATGGCAAAGATACAGCCAAAATTGTAGAACTGAAGTCATGGAAAAACAACAACAAACTTATCCTATATGGGATATACAGCCCACCAAAAAACAAACATTTAGATCTAAATAAAATAAACATAACACCAAGAACAGTTCTAATTGGAGATTTTAATGCAGCCAGCATGGGGTTACAGTTATACAAATGATGCTGCGAAAGTGGTGGAAGATTTTATAAATACCAACAACATTGATCTGATTTTTAACCTAAATGATGTACCAACTTTTTTACACTACACTGGAGCAACCACGAATCCAGATTTAGCAATATTAGCCTCACAAATAACACAGCAGACCATACGAGAAGTAACAGAAGATCCAGGATCTGGGCACATAGTAATATTGACAATAAATATGGGAAGACATCAGAATGAACAAACACATAAAGTATCTTACAGTTTTGGAGACCTGAATCCAAAGGTTTTGGACATACATACATGACTCGGGACCTGAAAAAAAAAAACCCATCCTACAGCAGGGATCTGATAAAATTGTACCAAAACATGTTTATGATAGACCTTTCACGATCAGATTTCCTGATAGAAGTGAATGGAAAGAGGAGTTTCAACCCGATAGAAACAGGGGGTCTCATCTGGTATACAGATGGCTCCAAGACAAATAAAGACACTGAAGCTGGAGTGTATTGTGATGGAACGAGGCGGAAGCACTCCTTCAGCCTTGGTCAGTACACAACAGTATTCCAGGCAGAGGTGTATGCCATTAAGGCATGCACAGTTGAGAATTTAGATAGAAACTACAAAAATAGGAATATCTATATTCTATCAGATAGTCAAGCTGCAATCAAAGCACTTGGTACACACCAAATCACTTCAGAATTGGTTTGGGACTGCCACCAATCCCTCATACAAGTGGCCAGACATAACAGAGTACAACTGAAAATGTGTGCCAGGTCATGAGGGTATTGCAGGGAATGAAACCGCAGATCAGCTGGCAAGAACAGGACCTGAACAGCCATTCATAGGACCTGAACCAGCTTGCAGCATCTCAGTTGGAGTTGCCAAAAAAGTGATCAGGGACTGGACTGATAGAGATCATAAAAAATACTGGGAATCCATAATTGGACTCAAACAGGCAAAGGGTTTTATATCAAGACCCTCTTGACAGGAGAATGAAGGATCTGTTGAGATTANGTGGCCAGACATAACAGAGTACAACTGAAAATGTGTGCCAGGTCATGAGGGTATTGCAGGGAATGAAACCGCAGATCAGCTGGCAAGAACAGGACCTGAACAGCCATTCATAGGACCTGAACCAGCTTGCAGCATCTCAGTTGGAGTTGCCAAAAAAGTGATCAGGGACTGGACTGATAGAGATCATAAAAAATACTGGGAATCCATAATTGGACTCAAACAGGCAAAGGGTTTTATATCAAGACCCTCTTGACAGGAGAATGAAGGATCTGTTGAGATTAAACAGAGATCATCTAAGATGGGTGGTAGGATTACTTACCGGACACTGCCACCAAAAAGGACACCTTTTCAAGTTGGAACTGACAGATAGCCCAACTTGTGAAAGGTGTCTACAAGAAAATGAATCAGCCGCACACATCCTGTGTGATTGTGAGGCCATAGCTTATTTAAGATTTCATCACTTGTGTCAGTTTTTTATGGAACCAAGTGGCTTTTATGATGCCCCATAAGCAGGGTCCTATACTTTATTAAAAGTGTAGGATTAATAAAGGGCTAATCCAAGGGAAAGCACAATAGATCATTGAAGGTTGCAATGTGGGGGCCAGTTTTTATGGTCCACCCCTTACATACATACATCTTGGAATTTCCAAAAAGCAAAATGGAAGAAATTCAAAAATGATATAAACAGAAACATTACAAAAATTAACCAAGAAGATAAGCCAGAAATTATGCTGAAAGAATTCTGCAGCATCATACAAGGAGCAGCAAAACAATACATTCCCAGAGGAAGGCAAGTCAAATATAA